GAGAGAGAGAGAGAGAGAGAGAGAGACTCATATGCATACCAGGACATAGAGTTGCCTAGGGTGGGAGGAAGTGGAATCCCAGACTTTTGTTCATGGGTCCTGGCCCTGAAGTCCTGGGATAGATGCCCTCCCAGCTCCCAGCGACTCCCCTCATTGCAGGCCCTAGTTGCAGCCGCCCAGTGGGCGGTGCCAGGGCAGGTTTCAGGCTATAAAGGGCTCTTGGCTCCCTGGGTCTGAGGGAGCGCCATCGCTGCGACAGTGTCCCTGCCAGCCACAGCCAGCCTGGGGCACTGCCCATACCCCATCGCCATCGGGCAGGCTCTTTCTTCGGACACAGCTCTCGGTTGTGCTCCTTGAACCTTCGATCGGCAAGTCTATATTCATATTGCTTTGGACTGGGTTTGGGTGTGGGGCAGAAGGAGGTCTGGGTTTGGGGGCTCCGATGTGAGAGGATGGGGAGATTACCACTTCTCTATAATAGTTCCTTCTGGGCAAGGTGTCTGGAGCTGAGGCCTCCCCAGGTAAGGCTAGCAGTGACTTTGCTGCCTACAAGGGAAAAGAGAAAGTTCTTCCCCAGGGGACTATAGGTGGGTGGGTGAGGGGCTCCTTCTAGCCAGGCCTGTCTGCAGAGTTGGGAGTGAGGGGTCAGGCCTCTGCCAGGTTGAACCTTTTGCACGTGGACTGTTATTTATTTTTTAAAAACATCAAGAAAAGAATTGGAGGTACCTGGGTGTGGGTGCAGGGTGGGGGCAAGTCTCCTAAGGGACAGAGAAAAATATGGAAGGAAGGCCTAGTGATAAATCGGCAGAAATTTAATGCACCCTTGGACTTGGTGGCAGTGATCAACAGGATGGCACCTCCAAAGAGTCTGGGGAGTAGTGGGGTGCAGGTAGGAGGTAGTTCGAAAGGGATCCTTGAGTTCTCTGCATAGCCAGACACCCTAAAGCCATGCTGGAGAACGAAGCATTTAGCTCTGCAGGCTCCAGAGAGGCAGTCCCTAGCACTGGGGGTGATTTTCATAATATATTGGACAGCAGGGGTCCAGCCCCTCCCTCAAGAGCAAGGGCACACTCATGAAATGTCCTCTAACCTGTCCTTGAGTTTCTGGGCACCAGAAGGCTACCACTGACCTTGTAATGCCTGTTCTGAGGGAGGGCACAGAGCCGCGAGAAGGTGGGCAAAGGCACAGAGAACAATGGGGCAAGAGCAAGAATCCAGGGCGAGGGTCCGCTTCTTATTCACAGGGCTTGCAGTTCCCACCTAAGCTGTACAAAAGGGTTGGGCAGGACCTGCTTTCCCAGGACTGTTACAGGCAAGGGACTAGGGCCCTTTTAAGCAGGGTGCAGAAGGACCTTAGAACAAAACAGAGCCAGGCTGAGACCCTGGAGAGGAGGAAGGGAAGCGGTTGAGATGAGCTTCCCCAGGGCTCCTTGGGGCTAGCCTGGTAGTCAGAGAACTTTGGGGTAGAGTCGCCACTTTTATCCTTCAGGGTGCACTGTCCCAGACCTCTGCGAGACACGGGGCAGACACGGTTGGTCCTTAAGTACCCAGGCATGCTTCCCACCGCCATCGCTTGGTCTCTTTGTCCCCAGCTTCCCTTTGTTCCCATTTTTACTCATCGCTGGCTAGAGAAATGAAAAGTTTTGGGGTGAAGAAACTAAAGCATCAACCAGAAGAAAAAAATCAGGGCCTACATTATGCAAATTGAGTATAAAATGGAGGATTTCCTCTGTCCAATAGAGTGTGTCCCAATTCAAGGGATATGTGCACTGGTAGGAGAGGGTGTAGAGCAAACTGGGCACTTTTCTCAGCAAGCAGATATACAAATTCCTTTAAAAATGGTGTTACTTTGCAGCACCATGTGCAGTGTGTGGAAGGGAACTGCTGGGAATGCACACGGAGAACGGCACGGAAGGGGCACTGTCCCCTCTGTGTGCACAAAGCTGGGGACACGTAGCCACCCTGGTAGCTTTCTGTCCTGAGGAGTGGGCTTTGAAACAGATCTGAGCACAGGGACTTCTTGAGTCCTAGAGGAATTTGCCTTGCTCCTTGTCTTCAGACTCAAATAGTACTTGAGGCCTCCCTCCACATTCTCTCAGGCCTCTCTACCAAGCCTTGCAAATGTCACCTAGGCAGAATTTCCCTCGACCCAGTGTTCCCTGACTGAGGTTCCCGTTTGCTCTGGCTGATTTCAAAGTACCTGGGGCACTTTGGGGTCAGTCCCTGAATCCAGCCTTCCCCGCACTGCAGGCAAGAGTTAGAGGCCCTAGATGTGCCAGGACTGTGGAGAGGGTTCTGTGAGCCACACAGAGATTACCGGCACTGGCCTGCCCATCTGGATACAAGCAGATCATTTCAAGTTCCCGATGACAGAAGTGTTCTCACCTAGAGCCCTAACCTGCCTCAGGAGACTTCTGGGTTGAGTCCTAGCTTAGGGACAGTCCAGAAGGCAATGGCTGTACTCTGTGGTCTAGGGTGGACCTGGAAATGCTTGTCTGTACAGAGACTCAGCCTGGGGTCAAAGACAGTGTGTACCCGTGACCAGGATTCAGGGTTAATATGGTCAAAGGTTTGTTTTAGAACAGGCTTGTGCAGCGAGCCTCCATCTGGCAGGAGTCCACCCAGGGCACTACCAAATTGTCTCTTCTGTGAGTGTGAGCAGCAGAGGTGGCTCGTGGCCTCCCTCTGTGCAGCTAGCCTCTTCACAAGTGCTAGGCACAACCTTCGGGCCAGCCCGCAGCACCTCCAAGAAGCCGTGTATATCACCACTTGTGTTTCTGCCTCTCTCCTCGGTACTCACTGGGACGTGAAGAGAGACACTTCCCATTAGGAAATACTGCAGCTGTTGCTGTGGGCTAAGTGTCCCCGTGGACACTCTCCAGGACCTCACTTGGCAGCTCAGCCGCAAGGAGTTAGAATTCCCTCCATGTTCCCGCCCCACTTCACACTTGAGTGGGAAGAAAGGCCAGGCAGAGAGGAGCAGAAGAGTTCCCAAAGCCAGAGAGTACTGGAGAGAGTGGACTTTTGACCCCAGAGTGGGCAGGTCCTGTGGTTTTGGTTTGGTGGCTTAAATGGGGGCACTTCCTGGCTATGGGTAGGTTCTCGTGTGTATGCCCTTGTGTAGGTTCAGTACCCCGTTTCCATGCCTCCTCACTGTCTCCCTCCGTCTGCTATGCCAGTGTCCCCCTGCCCACAGGCGGATGGCCCCGTGGTGGGTTTTCCCGAAAGCCATTTCACCTGTTTCATCAGGCAAAATGGAAGATGGTACTTTTGGGAACCTGGCCATATTCTTAGGGTACCTCAAGACAGCAAGGCCCCTGAAATTTCCCCAACCAAACTCTGCCACCATGACAGAGAGATTGGAATGCTGCTGGCCTCATTACTTTTGGTTGCCAAGCAGTCGTGTAAAGTCAAATTTCCCCTACGTGGACACCCCTCAGCTCTCTTATTTCTGGGGCTACAGTGGTCCTGATAGAACTTACTGAGTGTCCAAGTTCCAGCTGTTCTGTGGGGTGGACAGCCTAGGTATTTTTAAACTGGACCTCTAGGAATGCCTTCAAATTGGCAGTTTGGTGCTGGTGTTTGGCTAAGAAAAGACAATTAGTGAAGGAAGCTGGGATGGTGTCCCCTGCAGATGTAGTACTACAACTATCCACCAGGTGGGGTTCCAGGGCAAAGAGTGAGCGTGAGCCGACCCAGCACTAGGAGCTGGAGCGGAGCTTGCCGAGCTCTGCACGCCCGCTGCCCGCTGTGTCAGAGTAGGCAGCGCTCTCCTAGCAGCTCAGGAGCGCGCGTCTTAGCGACTTTAGCGCATTTTCTGCTAGTGAACTCTAAAGCAGATCAAGTTCTGGATGCAGGGGACGATTAACAGGGAAGGGTGGGTTAGTTTTCTTTACAAGCCCATCACTAAACCACAGTTGGGGTGCCTAGGATGATTTATCATTATTTTCTCTGGGAGTGTGGGAGTGGAACGAGAGAACAAGAGGGCTGGGGAAAAACTGGAGGCACGGGACAGAGAGCTTCGCGCTACTCAGGCAGATGTCGGGGCGCTGGTGTGCTCACTCCGTCCCAGGCTCTCAGGAAAGGTCATGTAACAGGCAGATCCATGGATGCGCAGACACAAGGAAAGACTCCCAACATTCCACCAACGTCAGGCGGGAGCACAAGCAGGTGTGGCCTGGAGCCACAATCACTCATTACACAGACTCACGCTCTGGGCTCCCTGTGGCCGGCTCTGAGAAGGCTCTGAGAAGGTGGCCGGGATCACAAACATGTTTACTTATTCAAACGTATCAATGAACGTTTGTACAGGCCTCCTGGTTGCAGGGGCCACCGCATTTGTCTCAGGCACTGGACGTTTTCCGGGACCAGTATTGCAGTTAGTTAGGACAATGCTGGCTGCTGACTTGTAACTACAGAATGCGTGGGTTGGGGGGGGGGCGACTGGGGTGGGAGGGTGTCCTCGGAGGTGTTGGAGAGTTCAGCGTCAGTAGCCTGGGACAGACACAAGACTGGTGACCCTCCAGGCCTTCTATGGTAAGAGACATGTGGATCTTGACAACTGAGGTTTGGAGAAGCAGAGATTAGGAATAAGGACCCTGGCTAGAGGCAATTGGGGGGGAATGACACCTACGTGGTACTTGCAGCCTGCGGGGACCCGCGGGATCCCGCAGGATAAGCTACCGGTAGACTTCTGGCAAGCCCCAACCGATGTGGGCAATCCGACAAGGGCCTTCCACGAGGGGACTGCTGGAAGCTGGAAGACGGGTTCGGGGACCCAGGAGGGAGAAAAGGCGGGAGCGAAGTAGCTTAGTGGCCAAACGGGCACCAAGAGAGTGCGCACCGCGCGCGCTCGTGTGTCTGGAGTGTGTGTGTTTGTGTGTGTGTGTGTGTGTGAGAGAGAGAGAGAGAGATGTGCGCGCGCGTGTGTTCGCGCGCGCAGGAGTGTGTGTGTGTGCACGCGCTCGGGGGCATGTGTGTCTCATCTCATCCGTCCGTAGGTGCTGGACTCGGCGAGACGCGGGCGAGAAGGAAAAGAAGGCGCGAGGTGAACTGAGTTTGATCCTGAGGCGCCTACAAGTGGGTCCCCGGCGGGCGGCGGGCGGGGCGGCTGGGCGGGAGGCCGGCGGGAGCTCACACGCTCGGCAGCCGGCCGGCCTCTCACCACGCCTCCCGCTTTGTGAGCGCGCCCAGGGGGGGAGCTGGCCGCAAGCCCACGGCGCGCCTCCCGCCTCTATATAAACACACGCATCGCCTTGCCTTGGATCAAATCAGATTGAGAGACGCTTTTCAAACCACCAGCCCTGAAGTCCTGCCTCCTGCTTTTCCCCTCTTTCATCCCTTTTTGCCGTTCTTTCTTTCTTTCTCCCCGCCCCCCCCTCCTCTCTTTTCTTTTCCCCAACAGCAACTCCAGAGCCAGAGCCGAGAGACTGCGTCCCGGGACAGACTGCCTTTTCTTAATTGATAGATAGCCGGGCTCGGGTTTTCCACCCCCCCAACCCCACCCCGCCTCACCCCTCCCGCCCGCCGCCGCCGCCCCAGCGCCCGCCTGGGGCTCTGTGGCCGGCTGCGTCCCTTCCCGGCTGCGTCCCGCCGACTCCGCGCTCGCGCTTGGGCCAACGCGCCCGCCTCGCCCGCCTCCGGGTGCCGCGGCGGCTCCAGCCTCTGCACTCGTCTCATCTGGGGAGCCTTTTCCCAAGCCCCCAAAGTTTCTGGGTTCGTTGGAATTTTTGCATTCCGATTTTTTCCTTTTTATGCACCTAGAAATTTTGAAGGTATACTTTTGATAAATTGACCGCACTTTCCGCTAGCTCTCGGGTCCCCTTCTTTTTGCTCCCCTCACTTTGAGCAGGGTAGGGGGCTTCCGAGAGGCTTCTGGTGGATAAAGTTTTCCAAAGTTTTTCTAGTGTGATGGTCGAGGGGAGAGCAGGCTCACCAGCTTGACTCAGCTTCATCTCACCTCCCCAGAGCAGCCCTAAGCCCGCGTAAAGGGACAAACAAACAAACAAACAAACAAAGTTACACCTCGAGTCGCCTCGTGTCTCCTCTCTTCTTCCAGGAAATCTTTTTTCTCCCTCTCTTCGATCACCTCGCAGCCTTCAGACCCCTTCTCTGGGCCCCATCTCCTGGGTTTCGCCCGAGGGGTGCCAGGACCCCCGGCCGCAGCCTCCCCTCCCCCGTCACTCTAGTCCGGCCCTCCCCTCCCCCTTCGCGGCCCGCACAGCCAATCCCCCGAGCGGCCGCCAACATGCTCTTTGAGGGCTTGGAGCTGGTGTCGGCGCTGGCCACCCTCGCCGCGTGCCTGGTGTCCGTGACGCTGCTGCTGGCGGTGTCGCAGCAGCTGTGGCAGCTGCGTTGGGCGGCTACCCGCGACAAGAGCTGCAAGCTGCCCATCCCCAAGGGCTCCATGGGATTCCCGCTCATCGGAGAGACCGGCCACTGGTTGCTACAGGTAAGCGCACTCTCGCCCAGCTGCTCCTGGAGTCCGCTAGCCACGGGTGCCCGGCCAGGGGGCGCCGGTAGCTCGGACACTCGGACGCTTGGACTAGCCGGTCCCCGCCCCGCCCCTCTCTGCCTCAGTCGGCGCCGCCTGGGTTTCCCCAGCTCTCCAGCAGTGCTGCTCGGAGTCCTTGGGCGCCGGGTGAGCTAGTTCAGAGGGCTGATGATGGGGGGTTGGGGTCGTGAGGAGCAGAGATGGCTCCCAAGTGTGGTGCGCCTGGGCTGCGGGCGCCCCAGTCTGGAGTGGTGTCACTTAGCTTTCGTCTCTGTCTCTGAGCTCCAGTCTGTGTTAGCGTCCTGGGTATCTACCTAGACGCTGAGAGGTAAAAGAGAAGGCCAGTGGCAGCTTGGAATAGCCCACACTAAGACCCGGGCAACATTCCGCAGTGTATCCGGCTCAGGTACAATTGGACTGATACAAGGTGCTACTCACAACTCTGTGTGTGCGCGTGTGCGTGTGTGTGTGTGTCCGCGCGCGCGCGCGTCTGTGTCTGTGTGTTATGGTGGGAGAGGAAAAAGGTAACCTAAGGGAAATTCGAGGCAAGAGAGCTGAGAGCTCTCAGCTTTCGGGGAAAAGGGTCTGTTTGCTTATTGGGTGGGGACAGTTTAGCAGAGGGAAACTGGGAGAGCTATGCAAGAAATCCAGAGTGCCTATGCAACTGGACGCCTCACAACTCCACTCTGGTGACAGTTGGGGCCAGGCTCGTTGAGGACCAGACCCAGGTAAGTAGCAGGCAGATTAACCTGGAGTTAACCTCGTCCAGTGCTAGACAATCGCTTTTGCAATTTGATACACCCCAGGGTTTTTTTTTATGGGGGGGTGCACCTCTGGTGTAACAGCGGGAGGTGAGTTTGTCAGGCGGGTGATCGCTTCACGGACTTAAGGACAGCCTGAATATCCCTAAACAGACAACCCCAACCCCTCAAAAGGAGAAATGAAAGATGAGCGCGCGTGCGAGGGGACCTATGGGTTTAGACGTGCGAAAGCTTGGCTTGAAATTAATAGACGCGTGCAGTTAGTGCGCGTGGGCATACAGACACACACACACACCCCACTGCGCCCAATCGGGGGCCGAGTGACAGGAGAAAAGTGGGTATGGAGGGGGCTTGAGAGATCCCCCCCCATTTCTCCATGCCTCACAGTAGGACCATCTCTTTGGGGGGGGTTGCTTGTCCAATTGGGTGGGGTCACTTCAACCAATCGGACGATCCCTAAGGATCTCTTTTGCCTGTTTCTTGTCTCCACATTTAAAGGGTTAACTGTGGCGGTGGTCCAGGCTTTAGCCGGGAATTTAGAAAATAAAATAACTCAAGTGGGCAACGGTTCCCGCCTGCTTAAGGCAAAGCCTCGGAATCATCGTTCCCATCCGGTTTCCTGAACTGCCCCTCCCCCATGTCCCTTGCCCCTTTTCTCAGTCCCACAAGGGCCCTTGCGGGTGTGGTGCAGCCAGCACAGAAGTCAGAGAGGCACCCTTCGCCAGGGCATCCGTGTCTCTGGGGGTCAGATCCCCCGGGGTAGGGATCAGGGGTGCTTAAGGGGTTAAAGCGAACCCTCCGAATCCGGTGTTTTTTTCGGAGTAATTTATCAGATTTTACGGGGGACCTCCAAGGGCTCTCGGTTTCCACTAAGCACCATCTAAACAGAGCCCAGGGCTAAAAATACATTTTTGTATAAATTGGACTCGCGGCCCGAACGGCCGCCCCTATGAAAGTCCTCTTTGTGAAGGCCGTGGAAACGGCGGACAAATAACTCTTTATTAAAGCCACAAAAAACGCACTTTAATTATAGTTAGGCAGATCAGAGGCGGGGGTGGGGGCGAGGCGGCGGCGACCTCGGAAAATTCACAACCCAACTTTTGTGTCGAAAGAAAAGAAAAACAGAGGAAAAGACGGGAGAGGAGAGACGGAGTGAGACCGACCGAGGGAGACTGCGCTGCAGACGAAGACGGGAACCCCGCTCGGTGCCCCCCTCTGCCGCACCCCACCTCCGCCCGACTTCTCTTAAAGGAGCCGGCGCCGTCTAAACCGGCGTCTGGATGGGGGCGTCCCCGACTCAGCCCCTCCAGGTGGCGCGGGGGTTCCCGGCTCGTTCCCTGTCGCGAGCCGGGCCCAGAAGCATGTGGAAAAGCCATTAGGAATCTGGGTTCTGTAGTCACTTTTCGCATCTGGGGCGTGTTCACTTCTAACTGGAGTATAGTTTCCCTTGGAGAAAGGAAAGTGGGGCGGGGGACACAACCTGGGAGAAGGGGAGCGTTCTGTCTCCGGGTGGAGGGAGCCATGACGCGTTCCTGAGAGAACACGAAGGCGGGAGCCCCGGCCACAGCTCTGCAGTCCGCAGGAGAGACTGCACAGGTGGCTCTCAGCCTCTTTGCACCGGGTGCACCCTGGCGGGAGAAGAGTTAAGGCGGGCTGGGTGGCGAATACTATGAAGGTTTCCGGCACTACAGGCAGCTGGACGTGGAGCACAGGGATCGGTCAGGGCCCCGCGATCCAGTTACCTGCGCGGGTCACCGCGCCTCATCCCACCGCCCCTCAGAAGCACCTTCCTGGTGCTCCAATTCCAAATTTCAGGGCGGTGACAAAAGTTCGTCCCAGTTATTCCCAGGACAAATGTTTCAAGAGAGTCGTGGCTCTGGGCCCAAGACTCCACCCTGCGGAGCCCACGGAGGGCCACACCGGAGCAGAGAGGAAACTCCAACCCCCTTCTCTGGGGACAGCCTTCGGGCATGCACAACTCGCCGCTATAAATAATCTTTGGCCTGCGGCCACCCTGCGGGGTCCCGCCAGCCCGTGGCCTAGAGCCTGGAAATATTTATTCCGAGAGACTCTGCCGAGCAGGGGTGGGGGAGCAGGCTCCAGCTTCAGGTTCAGTCGTCGGGGATACCACCCCCCCCCAAAAAAAAACCATTACCAAAAACAGCCTTCCGTGGGTGCCCCTGCATCTCAGTCCTCCCGCATTATTTATTACTCTTCAGGTCCCACTTCCCAGTCCTAATGCACGCCGTGAAAAATAAAACCCATAAGTGTGTGTGTGTGTGTGTGTGTGTGTGTGTGTGGTACATGTGCGCCTGTGTTGAATGTTGGGGGATGACAGGAACCGGATGGCCGGTGCCTAGGATGAGGCTGGATGCAAGGGCATCAAAGATCCTCTGTGAGCCCTGAGAGGCTTCTGGTGTATTCCCGCAGGGTTCCGACTTCCAGTCGTCGCGCCGGGAGAAGTATGGCAACGTTTTCAAAACACACTTGCTTGGTCGGCCGCTGATCCGTGTGACCGGTGCGGAGAACGTGCGCAAGATCCTCCTGGGTGAACACCAGCTAGTGAGCACCGAATGGCCGCGGAGCGCACGTGTGCTACTTGGCCCCAACACGGTGGCCAATTCCATTGGCGACATCCACCGCAACAAGCGCAAGGTAAGAGCGCAGACCCTCGCCTTTCTCGGGTAAGGAGCACAGAAATCTGAGCTTCCCTGCCTAGAGGGGTTTCCTGCCCGAATCCGGGCTCGGCTTGGGCCTCCTCTTGATCCACACTGATGCACCTTTTGACCAGCTGGCCCACTGTACGGTGGCACCACTAAGGTCAGTGGGGCCTGCCTGTATATGGTCTGGACAAAGCTTGTACGTGTGGGGTCTGCAGTGATGGATGCGGTTGCTCAGTGCGCCACAATACTGAAAAAAAAAAAAAAGAAGGGGGCGGGGCGGGCTGTTCCACCCTCCACTCCTCAACCCTATTTCTCAAAGTTTCCCCCAATAAAGCCCCAAAGACCGATCATGCTGAAACCAAACCTGGCCGAGCAGCCACAGGTTGCCTGGAAGGCGATTCTGTCGTGTGTTGCAGGACTGGAGATACCTTGTGGGCAGTGGTCTCCTGACCTAGCCCGGGGAATAGGTTGGGTGGGCTTGGGACCCCTGCCCTGGCTGGCATGCAGGCCGGTGGGGGCGGGGAGGACAAGGGCTGGGAGAGCAGTCTAGGTGCGCTGAGGTTCAAAGCGCACCCAGCCTCCAGAAAGAGGAAGAGAAAGTGGGTGTTTATCCGGTGGATTTCCCGAGCTAGAGCAGAGACGCGCAGCAGGCGAGCCAGAGCGCAAGCAGCACGCCTCCCCGCCCCCTCCAGCTGCGCCGCCGCCACCGCTGGGCTGGGAGCGCGGGCGGCACGTGCTGTTTGAACTGCAGTAACCCGAAGGCTGAGCCGGCCGGCGGGCGGGCGGGGCGCCGGCCTTGGGCTGGAAGCCGCCAGAAGGGAGGCTGCAAGGCTCCTTCACTCTGTTTTTTCCATTGGGTCAGAGGACTCGTTCAGGTTTGGAACCTAAGAAGAAGAAAGGGGGCCTCTTGCCTTGGGGAGGTGCACTGGAACAAGGAAACGGGTGGACGGGACCGCGGGGATCATGCCCTTTGCCAACAGCCCTACTGTTAGGTGGTCTGGATAACTGGGGAGTAGTGGGACAATCACTGATGCTGCTTCTGAGCTTTGATGTTCTCTGAACCGTCCCGTAAGGGTCGTTCTCCTTGGCAGGCACAAAAGAAACCACACACACACACACACACACACACACACACACACACACACACACACACGAGAAAAAATTCAAAGGAAGATGTGCAGGTCTCCCAAGAATTCTACAGAAGGGCTTCTGAAGGTCTGACGGGATGCTGGCAGCAGTGAACGCAGCTTGCTGGCAAATGGGGGCGGGGCTGGGGGCAGTGGTTTTCCCCTTGAGTTTCTGAGACCCCATCAAGGCTTCTTTGCAAGGAGAGAAGAGAAAGAGAGCTGCGATCTCTGGGAATCCAACTCCAAGCTACTGTCTCCTCACTTCCCTTCAGAGGCTTGGTGCAGAGGGATCTATGATTTAGACTGAGATTTGAACCCCCAGTTGTCACTCGGCAACATTGGCCTGCAGCACTACCAGGACCTGCCTATTGGGGCTGCAGGAAGCTGGGGTGGGGCAAGGTGCTGAGAGGAAGGACCAGAGTGAGGCCCAACTCCTCTCAGGGCTCAGCTCACACAGGGCGCTGGCTTTGGCCAGTGCAGTGGAAGCTCACCCTCTTACAGCTCGGAGTTGCCCTGTCTTCCAGGAGTCAGGTGGGAAAGGTCTGGACAGGAAAAGCCAAGGTCTGAGTCCACATTGTCCATCTGAAGCAAGGGGACAAGGAAGGGAACGGGACAGATGAATGGTGTGCCTGGGGCGTTGTGGGGGAGTCCCTTCTTCTGAGCTCCTGGCCTTTTTTGCTCTTGGGGATAGAGAGTGGTCAGAGGCCAGAACATATTGACCCAAGTTCCAGAAACAAAATCCAGAGGGGGTTTCTGTATGCGCGCTTGCTTTATGGTGGTCACGTAGGTAGGATCCTTCTCAAGTCACCCTGAAGTGTGATCTGGGATCCTGTTTACTGAATTTCATAGGTACTAAGAAGTGGGGAGCTTGATCCTTGCCCTCAGGAAGTAGAACCTGATAGGAAGGACAAGAATTGAATACACAGGGGCCATGTCTCTGAATGGCCATGTTGCCCTGAAGAGATAGGTCAGTTTTGAAGATGCGAAAGCCTGGAGGGCACCTTATGGCCAGAGTGAGGGTAATGCAGCTCACATTACAGTGAGGGCCACGCCCCAGCCTGGTTAGGATGAATGTGCAGGAAGTGGGGCCCAGGTGTGCCGGGACATGGCTGGCTGAGAACTAGAAGAGTCACTGTTTCCATCGAGGTGGGTGACTACCCCTTCTCTGGGAGGTCTAGCCAGATGTGTCGGGAGAGGGCTTCTCACAGGCATCCCTGCATGCACTCCACATGTTGGCCCTGGCTGCCCTGGTGGTCTAGGGCTAGCAGGGGTGGGACTGCATGCAGAACTCCAGAGTGTCCCCCTAGGCTGATTGCATCACCCCTGTAAGCCAGGCCTCATGCTCCCTCTTTGACTCTTCCTTTGAAACCCCTCCCAACCTGGGGCAGAGGATCCTATCTGACAGCTTGTACAGAGGGGCTGGCAACTGCCCAGGAAGGATGGGTGGAGTCTGGATGAGGAGGTAGGGGTAAGAAGTTGTAAGAGAGAAAAAGAAGGTAGCTCTTCTGGAAAGCCTCCTGCTCTCCAGCCACGTTTCTCTTAGTACTGGGTCTTAGCACTGAGAGACAGGAGACCCAAGAGCCCACGGAGTGCAAAGCCGGTTTCCTGTCCAGCAGGTGGGCAGAGCCCAGAGTGATCAATGGTAATAGAATCATGGGGGAGGCCAGCCCAGCCCTACTAGGCTCTGGATACCTCTGGCTCGTCACGCAGGCTGTAGCCATAGACATGCTCACATGGATCCAGGCTTGGTTCAGGGCAGAAGTTTCAAACTGCTTCCGGGTCCATAGGGAGGTAGGTAGCATAGCCAGACAGCCCAGCCGCAAGGGAACAAAGCCTTTTTCCTGCTAGACGAACTCCTTCATCCAGAAATTAAGGTAGCTCCAGTAAGTGGGCCCAGGGGCTACTGAGAAGGCGGGTGGCAGGAGTGGATCTCTTTGAAGGTCAGTGGGGGAGGAAGCCCAGGCCAGCTGCCAGGGCGTCTGGGCGTGGGCACCTCCCTCTGCTTGCCCTTGTGCAGGGAAGCAGACAAGGTGAGTGTGGGGGCTTCTGTTTCCTGTATTCCTTCCGTTCTCTGTCCTTCCCCTGCGGTCTCCTTGCAGTCCCACTGGGTCCTGCTGATAGCCCCTCACCCTGCGAGCTTTGAAAAGCAAATGTGACCTTGGTGTGGTGAGGGGAGGCTTGGCTGGAGTCTTTTTCTGGCCCTGAGCCCTGATGCCATTCATTGTAGCCGTCCTGGGCTCCCCGAGCCTAAAAGATTGGTGTGAACCAGGGCCTACAGGATCTTTACAACAGCAGGGTGAGGACTGTACTCTATGACGTTCCAAAGTCCTTCCCTTGGCTTCCAGCTTTTGGAGCTGGAAGATGGTAAGCACCTGGGCAGCCAATTGTTCCCCACCCCTCCAGTACTTTGGTTGGGGGCCTGTGGCAGAGTTTAGGTAGCAGGGAACCCACATGGGGAGGGAGACGTGTGCAAGTAGAGTAGGGGGCTGCTTGGCTCACCCTGTATGACCAGAAGGGATGAGTGAGGACAGACATAGGTGAAGGGGAGCCAGGTGGCATTGCAGACAACTGGAGAATGACACCCTCTTTGGTCCCCCTCCTTACTGGAATCTAAAGTACACACCTTGGCGTCGCCCCTCTGCAGACTGCTGCCGGCCTTCCGTTATTCTTTCCACTCCACGGGCCGAGGCTCCGGTGGCTTGGCTGGGTGGCCTGCCTGGCCCCCACCCCTCCTGGGCAGCAGCTTCCATTCCTCCTCAGCTGAGTCACTGGTTGGGCAGTGGGCTCCCTCTCAGGCCCTGCCCGCTGCTGTGGCTGCCCATCGAGTTGCCCATCCACCCTCAACTGCTGGCTGATCAGGCGGGTACTGCTTCTGTGGAGTTGTGGGCTTTTACAAGGTCACCTCCCCTCCCAGAGACACCAGATTAGAGGCAAGAGAAAGTCTAGCTGGGAGAGAAGACATCTGTAAGAACAATTAGAGAGGATTTAGGCTTGGACAAGCCTAGGTGAACACTCTAGGCTCTGTGCAATCAAGTTCTATCCACAGGGAGAGACAGACAATGGAGGTAACTGTGTTACTGGGGATATGGAAAGGGCCAGGGGATGTTCTTCAGGGATGTTTAGAATAGTCCTCCCTCCAGGCTGTTTTGTGAGTCTATGGGGATACTGGGGTAGGCATTCTGAAGTCTCTTCCAGGATCCTCTGTCTTTGCCCTCCCTGCACCCATTCCCTTGCCAAATCCATACCTGCTGCTTGATCGGCAGAGCTCTATTGGGGTTTGGCTGCTTCCCATGGACATTTGTGTGGCATTCTTGGCTTCATTCTGGGAATTCCCAGGGAAGACCCCATGAAACACAAAACAACCTGGCCACTGTGTTGCCTGTGGTCAGGGCCAGTGCTCCTGGGCCAGAACTGTCTTCATATTGAGCCACTCCCAGGCACCTTCCCCTGTGCCCCAGGCCTGACCCCAGTGGCCAGCAGTCTCAGATCCAACAAGCTGATGGGGCCCAGGCCTCTCCCTGCCCTGGCAGGCACCTCCTGCTGTCCTCCGAGGTGGCTGGTGGTTTCTGGGCTGCCCTGCTTTGGGAAGTGCCCGCCTTGTTAGCCCTGGGCACAGACCCAGAGATGCAGACCTGGCTTCCTCCCAGAACCTGGGAGGCCCCTGAATCTCTAGAGCAGCTGAACCAGAGGCAGGGCCATGGACTTGGAGGCTCTGAGCAAAGGCTGCTGCCAAAATGCTTGCTAACAGCCTTTGCTTGGTCCTCATGCCTCTGCTTTCTCCACCTTTCAAAGGGGAGCAGGAGGGAACTGGGGAGCATCTGGGTAGAAAGGGACTTAGAAACATCTAGATGGACTCTTCAGAAAACCAATGGGGAAACTAGACACAGAGGCGTGGCCAGCCAGAGACTGGTCTAGGCAAGAGCCTGATCTTTCACTATTCTTCTTGGGGCTCCAGGGGGAGAGTGGCCGTGGTTTCTGGCCTTTCTCAGGATCCCTTCCCACTTGGGGACAAGTATGGACCCCCTGCCACAGAGTTCCTTGCTCAGCCCCAGACCTTCCATGTCTTTTTGGGTTGTGCCTGCCCTCCTGGGCCCCTCAGGCCAGAGAAGTGATTCAGTTAGCCGTCGCTAGATGGCGCAGGGAATGTAACCTAAGGGGCACAAGGGGCTCGCCCATTAGCCCAGTGGGCCCCTCTCAGAGAGCCCTTCTTTTGTCAGCCTTTGGGGTAGCCTGTGCTGGCTCCCCAGGGCCTTGGTGCAGTGTGAGGTATGGGGTGCCAGGCTGTCTCCACAGGGCTCAAGTGCCATTGGGCTGTGCTGCTGGGAAGGGCTTCTTCTTGAGAAAGTAGAATAGGTTCTAAGATGCTCTGTGTCTTGAAGACATCCCAGAGGTCTCTTGGGTAGGTCTTACCATCTTATGGGTAAGGAAGTCAAAGGATAGGCATCATGACCCTAGACACACACTGACAAATCCCTTATTATAGTTAGGCCTCTCTGGACACCCAATCTGACCTTCCTTACCATTTTCTTGCTGTTTCCCGATTACTTGCTTGGCTTTGTCTGGTTCTGGTGATATTGTCCTTCCTGCCCATGCCATCTTTGGGCCCAGATCTCCACTGGGCTATTTCCTACCCTATCCCATTTCCAGGAGTTTGCTGGTTCTCAGCCAGTGTGGCCTTGCTGTCCCCTCCTGCCCGGTAGATGGCTTCTTCACTGTGTTTTGTCACCAGGAGTTTTCCTCTGGGCCTCCCATTGTTTCCTGGTGACCCCACAGAGCTCTGTTCTCTGTAGAACCCTCTTCTTGTCTGTAGTCACTAACTGGACTCCTGAGGGCGAGGGTCCACTTTTCCATTCTCCGATAAGACCCCTTGGCCGAAGGCTGAACCTACTTCTAAGAATACCAGGACAAGGGCTCCAGCATCCAATATAGTCTTCCTCTGGAGCCCCCTGCCAGGAAATTCTCCAGAACCCCCCAAACTGGACAAGGTGTGAGTGACCTAGAAGACCCCCTGTCACCCTTGTTCCTTTAGGCTGTTTCTTGGCGGTGAAACTGGCCTGGGCAGCATGGTCCTCTGGCCCTCACTGGCCTTGCTCCCCTCCCTCTGCCCGCTGGGAACCGGGGAATGAAAGTGCTATTGTGTGAAATGGCTGGGCCACTGAAGGGCCAGCACTGTTATTTCTGCAAACCAGCCCTCCCATTAGCCATGCAGGGCACAGGCCAGGAAAATCTTACCTTTTCCTCCATTAGCTGACTGCAGGGGAAATTCTCACATTTACAGCTTGTGCGGTGGTTGTGTTTGGGGGGCAAACGGGAGGGCCGTGTGCTTGTGTGGTTTCACGCGCATGGGCGGGTGGACGTCCTACCTGAACTCTTCCTCTTCCCCAGCTCTGGGGGTGCCTCCTGCTCTGGATTTGTATGTGGGGATATAAGTAGACCCACAGGCTGTAAGTAAATAAACAGACACCCTTCCTCTCTTGGCCATCATGTGTGAAAACATGCTGATGTTGGAGTGGAGGCAGGGCTCTGCCCAGCCAATCAGGAAGATGGGTGCAAGGCCAGGAGATGGGAACAGGGACCCTTGATAGTCCTAGAAGATGTTCAGAATTAAAGGTCTGACTTTGCGATATCCTGGGTAGAACTCTATTGCCTCTAGGCCTGGCCACACAGTGGATGTTTGAATGGTTCAGCCTCTACACGTCCTAAAATCTCCACCCATAGTCATTCCCCGGGGACTGATGACAGTTTGGGTCCCTAGAAAGTCCTGTTTTCTATCTCGCGATAGGTTCTCTTGCCTGCCCATAGTGGAGCAGAGGAGAGCCATATGTGTGCTAGAAACAGACACTTGTGAACCCCCCCTCCTGACATTTCTGCCCAAGGTCCTCCTAGAACTCAGATAGTCCCTTCCTTTGTATGGTCCCACCCTAGCCCCTGTGGTGGCCCAAGGCTTGGAGAGCCTTCCGCTCTCTCACAGACACAGGCGGTAAAGTGATAGCTCAGTGCAGGGAACTGCACAGGGATCTGGGATGGGGCCACCCTCAGGGAGCTTGGTAGGAGGAGTGTGGGCAGCACTCCCCCTGGCTGCAGGTCCCTTACCACCTGCCTCTGGGTCCTTCAGGTCTTCTCCAAGATCTTCAGCCATGAGGCGCTAGAGAGCTACCTGCCCAAGATCCAACTGGTAATCCAGGACACACTTAGAGCGTGGAGTAGCCAGCCGGAGGCCATCAATGTATATCAGGAGGCCCAGCGACTTACCTTCCGAATGGCCGTGCGTGTGCTGCTGGGCTTCAGCATCCCTGAGGAGGATCTGGGCCATCTCTTTGAGGTTTACCAGCAGTTTGTGGATAATGTGTTCTCTCTTCCTTTGGACCTTCCCTTCAGTGGCTACCGAAGGGTGAGTATCCTATGCAGGCAAAAAGAGGGTGCTGGGAGGGAGCACAGGACATAGGAACAGTTAGATAAGGGGTAGAGGTGGCAATGGGATGGGACTGGAGCCTTTCTTATGCTCTGGAGGCTTAGAGAGAGTCCTGCCTTTGGGAAGAGCTGACGATCCGCTTTCTCCTAGGGCATCCAAGCTCGGCAGATCCTTCAGAAGGGCCTCGAGAAGGCTATCCGTGAGAAGCTGCAGTGTACCCAGGGCAAAGACTACTCGGATGCCCTGGACATCCTCATTGAGAGCAGCAAGGAACACGGCAAGGAGATGACCATGCAGGAGCTGAAGGTGGGTGGGCAGTACCAAGCCCCACTGTGGAACTCCCTTGCTCACTTCCCTCACCCAGAGTGCGGGATTGTCTGGCTGCTTTTGCTCCAGCTTTCTGAGCAGCAGTGGCAGTAGCTGCCTCAGCGGCGTGGAGGCAGCAGAGTGGCATCCTTGCCCTTGCTCTGAAGGATGCCTGAGGCTGCTCTGTTCACGGTAGCACGTGGCCTGGGGCTGTGAGCACCATGTGCTTGGGTGGCTCTATCCTGTAAGCTCTATCATACCCCTATCCATCTCTTGTTCTTAAGATGTTCTGGAACATTGACCCTCAGGCCTGCAAACCGACTGGCGGAGGCTTGATGGCATCTCCCATTGAGCTGGGTTACTCCTCAGTTCATTCCATGGTCCCGAGAAAACACATGCCCAGAGGCCACTCCCTGGAGGCCAGCTCCAGACTCTATAGATGTTTGGTTGCAATATGGACTCCCTGCTCTTACCGATTACCCAGCCGTGCTTGGTACTCATGTCCATTCCACTGTCTGAGCACAGCTGGCCTCCGTCTTTGGTCCTGCAGGGAGAGTCTTGTCTGGGGGACTCTTCCACTTGGGAAGGCTTGTTCATCCCCAATCCACACCCCCATTCTACACCCTTTACCTGGTATCTAGACTTCTCCCAGGAAGCTGGGGAGAAGCTGCTGTAGCTTCATTAGCAAGTACTCAGACCTTGGGATGATGGAACCTCTGCATTCCACTGCAGTCCCCTCTTGGGTCCTCCTGGCTGCTGCATTGTGCTGCTTCTAGATCCTGCCTGCCCTTCTGACCACTGCTTCTGGTGATGGAGGAAGAAACTGGGGGTATAGATACCTAGTTACCCATCACACACACACACACACACACACACACACACACACACACACACTGCAGAGCCCTTGCAACATGTCCTTTCTCTTCCTGTGAGCTCACTGAGCAGCCCTGCTGGTGCTGGCCATGAGTCCCAGCACCAAGCAAAAAGTGACCGAAGCTCTGGAGCCAGCAGGCCTGTGTCCTGCCCTAAATCATAGCAATGCGTTTCCAGTCAGGCTGGGGGTCAAGCTGCGTCCCCCAGGAGCCTTTTGAGAATAAAGCTCAGAACAAAAGTATTGGCTGCCGGAAGGTAAGGCCCAGGGCAGATGGGCTCTAGAGAAAGCCAGCTGCGTAGGTTAACTTGTGTGCCTGTCTCTCTGATGCTGCAGGATGGTACCCTGGAGCTGATCTTTGCCGCCTATGCCACCACAGCCAGTGCCAGCACATCCTTGATCATGCAGCTGCTGAAGCACCCTGCTGTGCTGGAGAAACTGCGGGAGGAACTGCGGGCTCAGGGCCTGCTGCATGGTGGTGGCTGCCCCTGTGAGGGCACCCTGCGCCTGGACACACTCAGCGGCTTGCGCTACCTGGACTGCGTTATCAAAGAGGTCATGAGGCTCTTCACGCCCATCTCTGGTGGCTACCGTACCGTGCTGCAGACCTTCGAACTGGATGTGAGACTGGGCTCCAGTCACCGTGGTAGTGGGGTGGCTGGGGCTTTGGCTAATCGCCAGGAAAAGGTGGCCATCTTGGGGTCCTCAGCATGGGGGTGGGCGGGAGGCAGGGAATGGTGCCTGATTCTAGTAACTTTCAGGCTTGTGGAAGAGACCCCAAATGTAGAGCTGAATGAAGCCAACCTGTGTGTCACATGGGATACTGCTTGTGACCATGTGGAGACTTGAACTAACAAGTGGGGCGCGGGGGAGTGGGGAGTGGGGGGGGGCATGCCTTTGGTCAGAGACAAGCCGTGAACAGCTGAGGATGAGGACAGGTAAGTGGGCCTCTTCTGGCTCTCACCACTGTACCTTCTGTTCCATCGCCCTCCAGGGTTTCCAGATCCCGAAGGGCTGGAGTGTCATGTATAGCATCCGAGACACTCACGACACAGCGCCTGTGTTCAAGGATGTGAACGTGTTTGACCCTGACCGCTTCAGCCAGGCACGCAGCGAGGACAAGGATGGCCGCTTCCATTACCTCCCATTTGGTGGTGGTGTGTGGACCTGCCTGGGCAAACACCTGGCCAAGCTGTTCCTGAAGGTGCTGGCGGTGGAGCTGGCCAGCACCAGCCGCTTCGAGCTGGCCACCCGGACCTTCCCCCGCATCACTTTGGTCCCTGTCTTGCACCCTGTGGATGGCCTCAGTGTCAAGTTCTTTGGTCTGGACTCCAATCAGAATGAGATTCTGCCTGAGACAGAGGCCATGCTGAGTGCTACGGTGTAGCCTCACTCTGGTCTCAGCCCAGCCTAGCAGAGGGGTGGGGGACAGAGACAGAAACCTGTGGGGTGAGGAGGGGGGCTGGGTGGGAGGCCAGCAGTCCCCCTGTGTTGTCCTCCTCTGGCCTCTTCTCTGGCAAACCCTCCCCAAATCCACAAGGGCCCCGCCCCCTCCTGCCTCCTGCTCCCTTGGATCTCCACTGCCCCCTAGCTTAGCTCCTGAGACAGGGCCGGGACAGGACTCTGTGTGCCCATGACAGTGTTAGAGCCAGTTGGCTGAGCCGCAGAGCAGAATATGCTATATAGCCTCTGAACGCTCCCTCCTCTTACCCCCTGTCTTTTTGTTGGTGGTCTGGTGGTTGTGAAGGCAGAAGGGAAGATAAGAGGGGGACCTCTTGGAGCACTCTTTGGCATCCTTCACCCTGCCTCCTTTCACTGCTCAAATGGTGTCCAGAACAGCATCTTGGGGATTCTCACCTAAGCTAACCTGGGAAGGGCAAGAGCTGCCGCCAGCCTTGAGGGTGCCCTGCACCAGCCTGACCAGTCTGGACATTGGAAATTACCTATTGCTGCTATTTGTTCTCTCTTCTGACCTTGGGGTACAGGAGCCTATAGGCTTAATCCCCAGCATCTTTCTTGGTGGTCCTGGGCAGGCACACTGGCACTCCTCCCCTACGGGACCCACTGAGCCAGGTGGTTTTGGGCTACAGCTGTCCACCCCTGCCCCCGAGCCCATATTTATTCACTGACCTTGGCTACACTGAGGTCTGGAGCACACACCCCACACATCACCAGCTCTGTCCTGGCTCTCCTTTTCAGGGTTTATGTGAGGCAAGCAGACAGGTCTCTGGTCTAACCCAGCTCCCTGGTGAGGGTTAATGTCAGGGTCAGACACCCAATGTCTCTGCCTGGTGGTTTTTATCACCTGCTCGCATCTGTTAAAGCCCTGGGCTTGCGCATCTGGGGCCACCACTTCCTGTTCGCTCACTGCCTGCCCCAGTGCCAGCCACTTCCCAAGTGAGGATGTGTAAGGATACGGGTTCTCCTGAAGGGACTTCTTGCCTCCCCTTCCTTAACCCTCACTTTCTGTCCCTTTGCTCTTGGGAGAGTTCCCCGCCCCACCCCCATCCTAAACCCACCCCACCCCCATGCCACTGTCTGCCAAGCCCAGCTCAGGGTGTGAGCAGAGATGAAAGCAAAGAGGTAAGGTAGAGAGAGCCCTCCCTCTGCAAAGGCTCAGGCCCCAGGGGGTCTGGAGACACTGCAAGGAGGTTGCCATAGAAAGCCTTGGAGAAGGAGACCAGAAGGAGGAAGAGGACAGGCATAGGTGTGATTTGTCAGAAGTGGTTCAGTTGCAGAGCAGCCAGTGGGGGCAACTGGGTGGAGGAGGAGGGGCTCCTGCCTCTGCCTTTTTGAGGGCTGGCCACTCAGGACCCCTTTTGGAAGGGTGTGGGGCTCTGGTGAGTCTCTAGGCAATTTTGTCTGTTTTCAGATTGCTGTTTGCTTTTGTTTTCCATCCATTGTTTTGTATGTTACAAAGGCAGTGGGTCCTCTTTGCAAGAAAATAAAAACACAGAATGACATCCCACATCAACCTGACCCTAGATGGCCACTGTCATGTCTCACCAGCCAAGCGGGACTCCTCTGTAAGCTGTGCTTCCCAGATGTTTCAGTGGTCTCCTGCATTTTCCTGACAGATCCGGCACAAGCAAGAACATTAGCACAGATGTTAGCAGCAAAATTAACGTGGACTTAAAAATAAGTATAATCCCTCGATTTCCTTTCCCAGATCTGAAACAGACCAAAATGTGTAAAGACTCATCAAAGCGTATGACATAGGTGCATGCTGCCCCCCAAACCAGCTCAGTGCCTGGAAGGTTCGTTTTCCTGCACGCTAGCCCCGCTTGCCTGCAGCCATCCAGTTTGGACTGAAGATGCATGCAGTAACCCTGGCCCTGGCGAGGGGCAGGGGCACTGGAGGGCCCCAGCAGGCTTCAGGGGTCTTCCCTTTTGGGGGGCCAGCCCAGGAGGTGTGGAGAAGGAAAAGCTGAGGGGGATCCCTGTGAGGGTGGGAGGAAGAAAAGGCAATCTGCCTGGATGGGTCTCAGAGGTGACAGGCAAAGGGGCCCAGCCTGTAGATGTGTCTGTCCCGTGTTCGTGTGTTTCATTGTGGTAGCATTAATGGGTGATGTTCTCTCACATTCCTAACTATTGTAACTTGACATTAAAAAATTAAACCCCACAGAACTTCCTGCCACGGGCTTGCAGATTGAAGCACTTTCAAAGTTAGGCGCTGGCGTGTGCGTTCTGGGCAACCATTTTGACCCTGCCCAGATTTCTATTATTTTATACACATTTTTTTCATAAATGTTATAATTTTGTGTCTGTCTTTATAAACTATTATAAGTACTATTTTTGTTATAATTCAAAATAGATATTTAGTATAAAGTTTTTGCTGTTAAATATTTGTTATTTAGTAAAATATGAATTGTTCTTTATTGTAAACATGGTTCAAAATATTAATATGTTTTTATCACAGTTGTTTTAATATTGATAAAGCACTTGTGTGTTTCCTTTTGGTATGAGCTGGTGCCGCGTGTGTGTTTTGCCTGTCGTGTGGTTTTGATGTGTATATAATATTCCATGTTGCATATCACAACAATGAATGTCATGCATTTTGTGAAATACTCAATGTGGCTCTTTTATTGGCTTCCATAATAAACTGTGGGGACTCATCCTCGTCTCTGTTGGCTGTCTGGTCTCTTGTCCTTCAGAGTCAGAGTAGGAGGTTCCTGGGTCAGCAATGCCCAAACCAACCTGTCAGGAAGTTCTAGACTGTGGATGGAGTTCTGCCACACATTCCCACACATGGAAAAGGCTGTGGCAAGGTCTAGGGCCTGATGGGGGAACTGGCAGCTGGGAGGGAGGCCACACCCGCCGGGTAGGACTGTGATCAGGTATACCAGGTTTTTGCACTGGAACCAGAGACCCAAGGCTCATCCATCAGTTTGAGCAAGGATGGCTGAAATGCACAGCCATGGCAGGTACAGGAGCGGGTCCCTGGTCTGACCTCAGCCTCTTGCCTGGGCAGGTGATTTTCCAAATCTGTTTCACGGCTGTTATGGGATCTAGTACATCCCACAACCACCTATGCTTGGGAAATGGACCGAACAAAATAAACCAGGTTCCTGTACTGTAAGTTTTGAGCCCCAGGATGATCATAGGAGTCAATATGCCACCAGACAACAGTGCTCTGCAAGCCACTTTGATAGCTGAAATATCCCACTCCTAAGCTGTTCCACAGTTGGACTGCCCCAGAGACCTGAGGAGTGGGGCATGCAGAGGCACAGCCTGCAGGGCTGGGTCAAGCAGTGTCCAAGGGATTCTAAGGACCAGGGCTGTGGGTATGTTGGAGGATGCTAGGAGCCAGGATGCTCTGTTGGTGTTACTTCTGGTCCTCTTCCATCCTGGAATGGCTATTGTCGGGCTGGCCTGACAAAAGTCACTGTATGGTCACCTCAGTTCTTTCTAATAGTCTGACCAAGGCTTTGTCCAGTCCAGGCACACTGGGACCCAGGCATGCTGGGGCATAGGGCCTTGTTTGCCCAGTCTAGATCCAAAGACTGGCCACCCCGGCAGCTGACAGTGGCACCAGGGCAAGGCAGTAACAGACCCTGGCCCCCTACTCTTCTGTATGGTGAATGCAATCTCCCCACTTTCCATCCCTGGGGTTGCTCACCCACAACCTTTTGCCTTTCTCAGAGTGGAAAAGGCAGGGGGAATCTTGTTCCACAGAAGCAGAATCCTGCAGTGGTGGTGACCTCCTGAAGGCCACAAAGAAAAGAGAGAAGGTGGTGGCATAGGGATGGGTGCCCACCTTGGTGGGCAGTGCTCACGGCAGCTCCCTTAGACGGGCCCAGACTCTGCCAGCAGTAGCAGCAGTGTGGGAGGCAGTGGTTTGTCAGGGTGTAAATTCTACCCATCCCAGTGGCAGCAAAGGGAATGGAAGCACAGCCCCAGGGGTGCCCATGACCTGATTGCCCTGCCTTGGGCTGGCAAAGAGGCAAATGGGGAGCTGGTCCTGCCACACCTCAGCCCTTGATTTTTTTCTCATGGCACTGGGGTCGGGGAGGGAGACAATGGCACTAGTTCTACTCCCCTGTCTCCAGGCAGCTGCCGGCTGGAATTTCCAGGTCTGAAAGGAGAACACAGACCCTGGACAACAAACAGTAATACTGTTTGTTCCTGGACTGCGGTACCAGTTTGGAGAGAACTTTGAGGGTGCACATTCAGTTACCTTCCAGCATTTTTCTGAAACCGCCTTGGCTTTAGCTGGGGGCTGCCCAGGGCCTCAGGGCCAGTAGGGTGAAGTGAGCAAGGCAGGTGAGGAGCAGGCAGTATGCTCAGTTGGATAAGCCTTGAAGATGGGAGGGAGAGAAGGAGGGAGGGAGGGAGGGAGGGAGGGAAATAAAGATTGAGGGATGGAGAGAGGGGAAGAAGAGGGGGAAGGGATGGAGGAGGCAGCAGAGGGACAGTGAGCTAAGGCTTCATTCCTGGCTGAGGTTCTAGGCTCTGAGCATGGGACAGCTATGGAGAGAGCAGCCTGAGATCTTTGGTTCCCACTTCTATCTCCCAACCAACTTTATGTGCGTCGGAAGAGCTGATCTGGCCCAGGGTTCACCTTGCACTAGCCTTGCTTTCTTGGGCTGCCCAGATCCTTAATCTGGCCATATGGCCAGGGTACTGGCTAACCTAGGGTATACGCTTCCTCGGAGGAAATAGGGATGCTTTGGAAGCTGGAATGCTGGCTGCACCCATAGAAACTTTCCTTGTCTTATCTGGCTAGGTTTTCTAGACCTTCCTTCTTGGAGCTTCTTGCTCTGGGACTCTGGCTTTAGAGAGATGAGAGGTAAGCAGGGCATAGGGTGACTGGTGACCCTGGGGTGAATGAGGCCAATAGCCTCAGAAGCCTTCGAGGTTTGCCCTACAAGGACCTTTGTTAGCCCATTTGAATCACACCAACCCCTGTCCAGCAAGCTGGCTTCTTCTGATCAGACCCCCGGAGTAGGGATAGTCGGCAGTGTCTGATGGACACCCTGAAGCAGAGGCCAGAGGACACTTTCCGAGCTCCTTTGTTCCTCCTTGGCCTCAGTGGTCAGTGGCACAATTCAAGTTCTCAGAGTTAGGCAACAGTGTCCTGGTCCCAAAGGCTACCTCTCAACTTACCACAGAGCAACCCAGCACCAACGAGACTCCAATTGCTCCCTTTGGGTCAGCAGAGATGCCTCTCCTGTTTCTGCCTCTGACCTCTAGACATCCTGTCTGTTTGCCTTCCTTCCCTCTCCTTCCCCCCTACCCCGCTCCTTCCCTTCTTCCTCCCTTCCTTCTCTGTCCTCATCCCGACACTTGAATTTAGAAGGTTGGGGACCTTACTTCCCTTTATATTGCAGAGAACATATCCTCACCGCCAGCATGGCTTCCATCTCAGAGTCCCTCTCTCACTTGGGGACGGGGGCCTCTCTTTGAAACTGTTTAGCAGTTCTGTGAGCAACTCCCAGTGCTGTAGAGAGAGCAGGATGGAGGAGCCCCAGAAGGTTGAACCACAGAAGCACACGCATGCGTATACACTTACATATGTATGCACACATAGAAGGTTTTGGTAGGGAACTGAAACTTTAACACATTCAAATACATGTGACTTCAAATTTATTTAATTTTTCTTTTGCAAGTATACGCGTGGGAGTTGGAGAACAATTTTTAAGAGTCAGTCAGTTCTTTCCTTTCACCACGTGAGTCCGACAGACGGGACTCAGGCCATGAGGCTTGGCGGCAAGTATCTTTACCTACTGAGCCATCTCCCCGACCTCCACGTGTGCGAAATGAAGTATAATACTAAGGACTCACCCAGGGTGTGCACAACTGTGCGAAGAGCAAGGCCACAGCTCCCACGCAAGGGCTCCCATGCTGACGTCACCTCTTTTGGATCCCGACAATGCCTTGTGGCTATTGTCCTTGTGTTTACTTTGAAATTACAACAGGGTCCATGCTTGAAGAAGCTGGAACAAACACCACACCCCAGGCCTGCACACACACACAGCTTTTTTTAAAAAAGAAACAATGAGCCATTTTCCCTGGAGCGGTCTCTCTGAGGACCCTACTCTGCTTAGGGACCTGTGTGGATGCTGTGGCCGGCAGACAGCTTCTAGAGAGTACCAGCGTTCACAGTCCTCAGAGAATGACCCACCCAAAGGCATTCCCGGCTCTGCCATCTCCAAGTCATGGTTGGTGTCAGACCCAGGGATGCACAGAGCTCCTGTCCCAAGAGCAGTACCCCTGGGAGGGTCAGTTTCGGGGCAGAGACATTGCTGAGTGTCTGTGAATGCTGGTGTTGGCTAGAGCCTGGGGCTGAGTCTGGTCTGAACAGCTTTTGTAGAAAAGGAAGGTCTCAATTTGGCTTCCAGGTGACTTTGGGAGGCCTTGTTTTGTGCATGTTCCTGCCTGGAGGGGTGAGCTGCTGGCTTCCACAACTCCTCAAAAGGGTCCTGAAGAGATTCATTAGGGTTCTAGGTTTGGGCAGTGACAGCAGAATAGTGAGAGATAAAGCACACACGTGTGTGCAGGTGCACATGTATGTAGATGCATGTGCATGTGGAGGTCAGAGGTCAACCTCATGTGTGGTTTCACAGGAGCCATTCATCTTAATTTTTATTTTTAAAAGGTCTCACTATCTATCCCTGGCTGACATGGAACTCAACTATTTAGACCAGGCTGGCCTTGAGCACACAGAGGCCAGTCAACCTCTGCTTTCCGAGTGCTGAGATTAAAGACCTTTGTGCCTGACACACCTTTTTGGTTTAGATTTATTTTATTCTTACTTGTGTGTTTAGTGTGTGTTTATACATGTGTGTGCAGGTGCCAATGGAGGCCAGGAAAGAACATTAGACCCCTGAAGCTGGAGTTACAAACAGTTGTGAACCTCTTGATGGGCATGTTGGGAACCACATTTAAGTCCTCTGCAAGAGCAGCAAGTTCTCTTAAAAGCTGAGTCACTTCGTTAGTGGGGGCCTTGTTTTTTTGACATAGCTTTTCCTGGCCTAGAACCCCCCCAACCCCCACCGCCAAGTAGGCAGGGCTGGCTGGCCACTGAGTATCAGGGTTCCTCTTGTCTCTGCCTTTCCAGCTCTGGGATTATAAGCTTCTGAGGATTTACCTTCAGGTTTTCAGCATGGCTACAGGCATTACCTCCCTACTCCCTGGGATTGCTTTTAATTCTTTGTTTTCCTCTGCCCTTGGCTCCAAGGTCCCCTTTTACAACAGTTCTGAGTGCCAGGTCACATGCCCAGGGTCCCACGTCTGGAAGGCAGGATTCCTCCACTGTAGTCTCTCTCGGAGGTATTATCTGGGCTTGGCAAGAGTGAGGAGGCCTCCCCTGGCTTGGAGATAGTAGAGCCTGGCAGCCGAGTGGAGTCCACTGCAGGTGGGCCTGGAGCATTGGCATTATTTCCCAGTTTGGGGGGAATGGCCTTCTTTTGTCCTCCTTAAGTGTGTTGGGGGGCAACAGAGAATGGCCTCAGTGACAGGGCTCTGAGAGGGTGGGCAGTGGCGGAGGTTGGGGGGAACCCCTGGATTCCCTGCTCTGGCTTTTTGGTGGCCCCTGGGCTAGAGGTGATCTTGTCTCTTGCAGCACCTTAGCATGGCAAACTAGGAGCTGTGCCCGGGAGGCTGGGAGGGGTGA